AATTCTATTAGGCCACTTCATATGCTAATTTATCCCTAGGGTGTAGATTAGTTAAATTGTGCACAGGGAGTTCCCTGTGTTTACAGTGCCTCAGTATTGTAAAGCAAATAACAGCAGACAGTAAAATCAAAGGAAACATCAAAGAATACGATTTTTTAAAAACTCCAAAATTAAAATGAAACTGTACCTCTGTGTTTCATTATACTAGTAACTATGAGGTCTAATTATACATGTTCCCAATTACCATGCTGGAGAGAGTGGGTTTATATGGGACTTTATAACATTTAAATAAAACAGTGGAAAACAATTAACTGCCTTGGGTTTGAAGTCACATCATGGCTCCTCTCTGAGATTCCCCATTAACAAAAAATTTTCCATTAACAAAATCTCTTATGTAAGACTTTATTTGATGAATTTTTAAAAAAATAACAAGAGCCATGAGTACTATGAATATACAGAAAAATACCCAGAGAGAAGTTGTCATAGGAACTATGCTAGGAGAACAGTGACACATAACTTAGAATGAACTGTCCAAAGAGGAGAGGAAGGAAGTGATCTTGAGGTACTTTCCATCACAGGGAACAAGCTTCATAAATCTCCTCATGGAAATTATCCTCAGAGACAGCAGAGGTATGTGGGACACTAGGAAGCTGTATGAGTAATGATATTGTAGGAAGGAGCAGTGGGAAAATTCCCTTTTTTTGGGCTGGTCACATAATCAAATTAACATCCCACAGTTTAATTGGAGAAAGGGAACAAATCTAATAACATGTATAATGGACTTACATCCTCTATTCTAGATAATAGAAAAGAGATAGGGGGCTGAGGTGTCAAGGAAAGAGGAGAGATGTCTCACACAACAAGGAGAGGGTGACTCATATGACAAAACCAGATGCTCTAGATGTTTGCCCTGCCATAGGAAGTTTTCTCTGATAAAAAGATCAGTCCTGGAGATGACCCTACATCGGAGTAATCTTCATTCTTTATGTAATGATACAGCTCTCTTAAAACTCACAGGGCCTCGACTGACCTTAACTCCACATGCCAAGGTGACATGTATTGGAAAAAGCCAGCTCTAGACATTTTTTTTTAAGATTTATTTATTTATTATACAAGCACTGGGTACAGTCAGAAGTGCGGGAGGGTGAGAGAATTCACCAGAGCCGGGAATAGAACAGGCAGACTGACAAAATACACTGCTGAGGGGAGCAGCAGGCACGGCAGGAGAGGTCTTTCGTGCCATGTGGGACCCTCACCAGCGGCTGGGGATCGAACTGGTGCTGCAGAGGCTGTGGGCAGTTTCGAACCCAGCACTCAACCACTGCGCCACCAGGGGAGGCCCAAAAAACAGACGTTTATAAACCAAATGAAGAAGTCCACAGCAGAAACCAACCTTGCCAAACTTAGACTTCTAGACTCTAGAGCTGTGAAAAAATAAGTTACTGTTGCTTAAGCCATCCTGTCAGAAGCACTTTGTTATGGCAACCTGAGCAAATGAACAAGTCCTAGAGTGGTCTGAGCATTATAGTTCAATTCAAACCCATGTCATCTTTTCATCATGGGAGCTCTACTCTTAGCATTCTGTGACTGTTGTATCATTATGAAGCATTAGGTATAGAATAGGAACCCACTGTGTAAAATGGCACAAGTCCACTTTGGAACTGGCTCCAGAGAAGTTAAGTCCAGGAAAAGTAATCAAGATACATGCTTCTTTGTGTTCTTATGCCTGCCTCCCACTCACCCAGGCTTTCCCAGGGAATGATGCCTTCCTCAGAGCGAACACAACACTTTGTTCATATTTAAATGCAAGTTCTTACAGGACTGCACTACCATTAATATTTTATATGTCTGTTTACCACCCCCACCCCACCCCCAGTTAATTTCTGAATTCATAGACTCTGAGATTGCAGCTATAAATGATTAATTTCTGTACTCCCAGCACCTATTACAATTCCTACTTCAAAGAAGTCACTAATTCATGTTTGGGCTTTCTCGAATAGATACACTTTTTATCTTTTCTTCTTTGCCTCTGATGAAGGGATGTTTGTGGTATATAGTCAAGTGAATGAAAATTCACATATATTAAACCTGTTATGCCAGAAGCCGTGGTCAATGTTATAAGAAAAAGTCTAATGTTTATTTTAAATGTTCCAATAAGAAGATTCTGAAATGTGTAAGCCTCTCCTTATGAGGGAGAATGCCAGCATAATATATGTTGAGTTGTCTAGGAAAAATGGTTAACATCACATCAATGTACTTAATGCCTATCATCGAGATAGAGCCAGCACCCTGTGATGGGCATCCTTTGGGAGGCTGGGAGAGGAAGGAGGCTGCAGAGGAGAGGAATTCCTTGGCATCCATTCAAGACAGACTCCATAAAGACTGTCTGGGCTACTCATTGGAAAAGAAATATTTCACCTCTGGGCCTCTGTGTATCTGGACTAGTTTTAAGTAGAATTGTTTCATTTTGGTAATGAACTGTATCTCATTCTTCTCAGACTTTTGGACAGAAGACAGAGAACATTTAGATTGTTATGAAATTTATCCAGTTGATCACACTGAACCATGGAGACGTGGCACTGCTCATCCAGTTCCTCAGTTTAGAGCAATGGAAGTAACTGCCCTATCAGTGGGTTGAACTGGAAACAAAATACAGTCTTTCTGAATATAGGCATTCACCCCCCTCTTCCAGAAGAACAATCCAAGGAAGGTCAACTTCTAAAACTTTTAGTAAAAAGCTGACAGACGACCATTGTTATTTTTAGACAACAATAGACCAGGGATGAAGTAAGAGGTGTTAATGTATTTTGCACACATGCTTTGCACTACTTGAAATACAATCCTTCTTCAGGAGTTTACTGTTGCTGACAGTGGGCCAACACCCACGGATTTGTGTTGGGAACCACAAGGATGTAGAATCATCATTTATGAAGAAGCAAAACAATCCCCCATTAGATTGTATATCACTAAATGTGAGCATCAGAGGAGGTCAGATCTATATTCCAGAGTCCTAATTAGAGGAGGAGCAGGAGGGAAAGGGGATGAAGAAGAAGAAATAAAGACTGATTGAAGTCTGGGAACACTAAACAGACAGGCATAAGATATTTGCTACGTTTCATGTCACATCTTCACATGGTCAGTTTTTTTCTTCTAAGGGCATTTAATTGTGTGGATTGAATTCTCCTGATGCCTAGGAAAATATAAATGTCATCAACTGTTTGATCTCTTTTGGGTAGTTCGAAGGCTGTTTGTTTGTGGGTAGGGAAGTTAATGCCACAGAAAGCACAAAGCCCCTACAACATTCCGGTTTAGAATGATTCCCAGTGAGCAGTTCACAATGCAGATCAGATGGTACATTTCTGATGTTTAAAAAAAAAAGGGAGAGAGTCCAGAAAACTTAAGATGTGTATACTATTTGTCATCCAGTGATAGCCAACTAGCATTGGGACATGGTTACATTACAGTTTGAAAAAAAAATATATTGTGGAAAACAAAAAAAATCTTCCTAATTTAAACAGTTTGAAAATTGTCACAAAGGAAAGAAAAGGGTCTTTTATGTGATATATAAGGAAGATCTGTTGAGGAAAATTAGCTCCTACAGGAATAGGATTGATAATGTGACATATACTCACTTTGATCTAAATTTAACATCTTCCCACATTTTCAACATTCCAGTGCCTTTCTAGTTACTATAGTGATTATACCTTGCAATTCAACATTCCCTTCCTAGGTAACAGACAACAATCATGATTACCAGGGTAGATACAGGTAAAAATCTATTTGTTAAATGTTATTTAGAACTAACTGCTTGAATAGCATCTCTCTCCTCTCTTTCTCTCTTCTCTCTCTCTTTCTCTCTCTCTCTCTCTCTCTCTCACACACACATATACATTTAAACTCAATATAACAAATGAGGATATCAAAACACCTCCAAATATGAGTTGTACAAGAATGCTCAAGAAGCGTGTTTGGACCCTAATTTTGAGTATAGGAACCTTGATCTGATGTCATAGTATTGCTAGTGAAACAAAAAAATGAGGATTCTAGAATAAGTACCTTTCAGCTGGAGTGACCTATAAAGCTACTCTTGATATTTAATGACGGTGTGGATAAAAAATACCCTGTTCTGTCCAGTTACAGTGTACCAAATTCAATGTTCTTCTTCTTCTAAAATGGAAAGATACATGATGTGGGAGTTTTATTTTCTCACAAAAGCAATGTATATTAGAAATTTCCAGATAAATTCAGAAGACTCTCCTGATGGCTGAAGAGACAAATAGTAAGGACTTTCTTATATTCCTAATCATACGTCTTAAACATAAAAAGGCTGATTTTAGCTCTCCAGTAAAAAGATTGTCCAAAGACTCATCACAGAGTAGCCCAGAAATATTCCACAATTCACACTTCTAGATGTTGGCTCTATAATGCAGTCTTCTTATGTTAAAGATAGTATTAAGTCAAATCAAATACAGGAATCCAAAGAGAAAACCATATTTTTAAATCTACCTTTTGTTACATGGTATACAATAAAAGTAAAGGCAATGATAAACAAATGAAAAATTAAAAAAAAAACAACTAAAAAAAACACATAGGAAAAGTGGCAAGTTACAAAAGAAGAGTATTTAGAAGTCAGAAACCTAAAGATAAATAATTGTAACATTTGTTAAATTCTTCCTATGTGTCCAGTCCAAAGCTATGTACTTTAACTCTCATTTTGTATTTAATCTTCACAGTAGATATGAGACTGTCATTATCTCTCCGTTTTACAAATGAGGAATTAATACTAAGAACATTAAAGTAACTTGTCCAAGGGATTTCAGTCAGGCTAGTAAGTGGAGGGACTTTTATATATTTTAAAACAAACAAATCCCAAGAAGTTCACAGGAAATATTATGGGTATTTATTCTTAACAAATTCCAAAATACAATTCAGAGGATCCTTCAGATGTGCCCTAGAGCCTCAAGCAATGAAGTCACAATGTCAAGTGGCCAGAACAGGTGTCCAAGTCTCTCCTTGAACAGAGGAAGCTAGAAGCTAAGATGTAGGTTTGACTTTCATAAAAACCTTTTCATCCTTCTATGTAGGAGAATTTCTTGTGCCCTTTGATAAAATTATTTACACTTACGTATATAGCTACATCCTCAAATTGGAAAGCAAAGTACGTAGATGTCTTTATTACAATATAGAAGAATGAGATGATATTAGACTTTATGGTTGTTTCTCTACAAAATAGTCCTATGGAATACAAATGAGTGGTAGATTTATTACTGTTGGGAACTCTGGGTGGGTGTCAACCAGTGATAATCATATTTCATTACAGCTCAGAGTAATTTTAGCAGCTAACTTTGCAAATCCCCACATATCATTGATTAGTGTTCTATTTGAATCAGTCACAGATGAAATGTAAGATGGAATGGTCTCTTGTAAATTGAGTTACATAAAATATAATGCGGACGTACCAAACTGCTAAATTATTGCAGTAGAAAAGAACAATACCTGAAACACACCGCAAGAGGGCGTGCTCGTACTTTTGAATATCAGAAACTTGACAGGTAGTGTGAACACAAAGACAATGTGCAGATTTCAAGTATAAGACAGTTGTTTTCTGCAATCATTAAATATCAAATCCAAATGATTTTCTTTCGCAACATTCGTGGGATTTGAAAAGAGTAATGAGGTTTTCAAGGCACATTGCTTATTTTCATAGAAAGAAATGAATTCTTAAAAATTTATTTCCAGCATATTTTATTAGATATGTAGTTTGTACCACTATAAATTATCAAGATAGACTGGGGAAAATTGAAAGAAGGGATTGTCTCCTTTTGTTATCAGCAATACAAGGTACAAGTTGGTAAAATTGGAATTCATTTCAGCAGATGGAGGAAAGATTAAGTGGCGTTAAAGCAAATTAGTAGAGATCCAAATAATCTTCTCTGTACCCCCTCTTCTCATACAAATAACTAGGTGATTCATTTTACATCAATAATGCATTTTAATGATAACATTATCATTTTTAGGTTTTACTATTGCCTCTTTAATAACTAGTGAAATCTGAACATGAGGGTTAAAAAAAAGGATATATACATACATGCTGTACCCTAAAGCTAAGGATTAAAATTTTAAAAAAGGCAAATGATAAAATTCCCACAGCTAAAAAAAAAAAAAATTCCCACAGCTATGTGTTTTGGAGTTTTCCTGGAAGTACACATGGTGTTTCTCTATTCAATGAAAATTTACAAATATTATCACAGGGAATGTTCCTTTAGTTCAGAAATCAGCAAACTTTTTTTATGGAAAGGGCTTTGCAGGGGTGTGGTCTCTGCCTACTTCTGCCTATTCAGTTTTGCCACTGTTGCATGAAAGTAGCTATGGACAAGCAAATGAATGGATCTGATTGTGTTCTGATAAAATGTTATGTACAAAAACAGGTGTCAGGCTAGATTTCTTCTCTGGACCATAAAGCTATGAACCCCATTTTAGTCTAGCTGTGGATATTGTCATTGAAAAGGTGTGACAAAAAAAGAGAAATAAAACTTTAAGACCTGGATATAGGGACACAAAAATAACCTGCAATTGGAGTGTATAAGGATATAAAAAGCTGCACCTCAGGTCCCTAGAGATACTGAATAGAATCCTTAGCAAGAAGAAAAATATAAAAAGTTTCTTAGGAAAAAGTGTATTTTAGAAAGTTGGCTGAAATATATGCTTAGCCCATGTCTAAAATATGTACAGCTCCAAAGGCTCAATAACTCAAAAAATAATTAAGGTAGGTGCTTTGTCCTAAGCACCAGTAGCATTGATACCAAGAAGGAAGGAAAATCTTAAGCCCTGCAGAAAACTGTGGTTTCGTAGCAGGACATTTGTAGGTTAAGAATTAGCTGCAAAGATACGCTCTTATTTTCTGGACATTAAAAAGCATGCTCTAAGTCCCAACTGAAGCACATTTTCTAAAGGACCACTGGAACTTTAAATATTTCAAAAATACATTTCATGGTTTGTAGAAGCATCAGATAGATTCCCTAACAGTATCAGATGCATTGTATTTTGACTTGGGAAATGAGCGAAGATTTCCACGAAATCAATTAATTGCTGAAATAAAAGCTTAGAAGGGGTTTTCTTGTTTGTTTTTACTACAATGGTGCTCAAGTCTAACCGCAGAAAAACATCAAGGAGATTTAAAAAACAAAAAACAAAAAACTTAGTTTCCCAGACCTCATTCCAGATCTATGGATTAGGTTTTCTGCATCTGTGGTCCAGATATTTTGAAAACCACCATGTGGTTCTTAGTACTGGCCAGGCTAGCCCAGGGACTAGTGTTCGGAAACCACTAGGACTAGGAACAAGTTTCAGATTTGAAGTATGGCCATGCTGATTTGAATTCAGGCTCTACCTTATATTTGTCATTTGGCCTTGAGTGAGTGATGTAACATTTCCAAGCTTCAGTTACAATATTCAAGCTTCCTGGGGAGTTACTGTTTGCCCTTAGGGAAGGCCTGCAACTCTGGTGTGGCTCTTTCAGGCCAGGGGTGTAGAAGCTTTGGGCTTTTTTGCATCCTCGCTCCCTTTTCTTCATGGGGAAAAATATAGCTGGATTTGCTCTGTTTGCTAAGTACATAGGTTTTTTACTAAAAGTGAGAATATTCTTTATTTGAGACCTAAGTTTAGTTTTGCTCCATAAAAGTATTTTTTCTTGAATTTACTGAGAACTCTGGGTTCAGGTCATGGTCTCCTCATCTCTATTCTTAAATCCCAGCTGGGGAGAAACCAAAGAAGGGAGAGATCAGTCCTCAAGCTTCCGACAAGTTTTAGCCTCTGCTGACTTTCTTTGCAACTTGGGTTAAGGCAGTTTTAAACTCATTGCTGGTAAGTTGGCTATTCCAAATTCCTGCTGCACTTGAGTTTTGTTCTAACATGCAGGTGTAGGAGGTTTTCACTGCTTTGTCAGTCTGGACAGCAGTGAATTAGGCCACACCTGCTGGTCTTTTTTTTTTTTTTTGCCTTTCCTCTTCCTCTGGTTTATCTCAACAAAGAACTTTGCCCAGTGTAATCTGGAGTGTGGAAAATTCCCCGGAGCAGTTTACCAATTGTTACTTGGCAGTTACATGATACTAAGGAGGGAACTGGCAACGACCTGCCTCTGGCCAGAGGCATTCTTATTCATAAGCAATTATTCTTCTGCTGTTTGAGAAGAGAAGTTGTTCCTTCTTCCTGAACATACAAGTCCAAAATGAACTCATCAAGGAGGAAAATAATCTCTTTCCCCCCCTTATATATGGAATCTTTTTGTTTTGTTATTTTATTTATGTTTTTATTATTGAGGTAATTGGTTTATAGCACTGTGTATAACTTTGGGAATAAGTGCACACCCCTGTACCCCACCCACCACCAGAGCACCCACATCCCTTTATCATATAAATTTGCTTCCTCCTACTTTGTTCCTACCCCCAATCTCCTCCTTTAGTACCCTCAATTCTGCAGTTATATTTCTAAGCTTTGTTTTGGTTGAGTTTTGCCAGTTCCTTTTGTTTTGTTTCTCGATATTCCACATGTGAGTCACATGATCCAGTATTTGTCTTTCTCCCTCTGGCTTATTTTACTTTGTATACTCCAAACAGGAAAATAATTTCATAGTGCAAGTTGCTAAAGCTTCTTCCACAGTAGGAAAGTGCTTGTGGAACCAAAGAGTAATGGAGTTTGGCAACCATCCCATTATTTGTTGAAAGAAGAAAGCCAGGAAAAGTAAAATTCCTGTTCTAGGAAGAGTTGCTTTGGTGTACAGGTTCATGAGTTGTCTCCAGTGGTTGTGTCTGGCAGATCTACCTTCTGGAACTTGTGGGCTCAGCATTTGATTCAAGTTTTCTTTAAAAGAGAAACCTCTGGGTTTTGTTGCATTCTAATTTAGAGGTAGGCGTTAGCCAAATTAGGAATGAAGAATCTCACATCAGCAAATTGCTTACTTTCACTACTGATTCTACTTAGTGACTTCAAGCAGAGTGAAGAAAACATCTATAATCTTTCAAGGAAACAACATGTGACAGTTGGACATCATTTGAACAGTAGAGTGTTTTTTAAGGACAGTAGTTATAAACTGAATGACATTCCTAAGGTCTGAAAGTTAATTTAATTTTTACATCCCTCAATTGGAGGAAAAATAAACATTATAGAATCAAAGTATTATTTTGCATTATTTTTACCAGAAAAAATCTCCAAGCTATATACATTTGTTCAAATTAGTTAGGAATAAAATTGTTAAATAAAGCTGAGATACTCGTATATAAAAAGGAAACAAAAATATATGAGTGATTTGCTATAAATTTTTATTTGCAGATTAACCATCTTAAATGCGTATAGAATCTCATCTCTAAGACAAACTATGTTTTTTATTTTTCTGCAATAACATTTCAAGGGCTTACTTTGGGAGTTGGAATAATAACACCACTTTTAGTGATTGAAAATGACTGTTTTGTACATTTCCAGGCACTTCTGATATTTGTGGTAGAGAAAATTAGTTCAAGTCAGGAGAAAAGACTTTCAGAGCTGTGGTTCTTATAGTGTTTTGTTTGTTTGTTTTTATAAATGGATGCAACTAACTATGACATCATTTAATAGTGGTGCTTCTCCAAGGCAGTGAAAACTTGAACTTTAAAAACAGGTAATTAGTGCTACAAAAGCAAATAGCTATCCAGTCAAGACATCACTTCAGAAATTTAGAAAGGTTGATCTCATCTTTTTTTTTTTTTTTTTTTTTTTTTTTTTTATAAATTTTATTGTTATATTCCCCATACAATTGCCGCCCCCCATTCTGACCCCAATCCCTCCCCTCCCCCCCCCCCCCCCCTAAAAGTGTCTCTGGTTCATAGTTTTTTGTTGATTTTGATTTTCACTTTCTTATAGTTTTTCATTTTCCTGGTCCATTATTTAAGTTTTCTAGATTCCTGCTATGAGTGAGACCATCCGGTATTTTTCTTTTTCTTTTTGGCTTATTTCGCTGAGCATGATCCCTTCCTGCGCCATCCATGTTGCAGCAAATTGCATGTGTTTATCTTTTTTGAATGCTGAGTAATATTCCATGGTATATATGTACCACATCTTCTTGATCCAGTCATCTATTTTTGGGCATTTGGGTTGTTTCCAAAGCTTAGCTATTGTAAACAGTGCTGCTATAAACATAGGGGTGCAGGTGTTCTTTGGAATTGATGTTTCTGTGTCCTTTGGGTAAATACCTAGGAGTGGAATTGCTGGGTCATATGGAAGCTCTATGTTTAGTAGGTCCAGAAATCTCCACACAGCTTTCCACAGTGGTTGGACCAGTTTGCACTCCCACCAACAGTGCAGAAGAGTTCCTTTTTCTCCACACCCTCGCCAACATTTGTTGTTGCTAGTTTTTTTAATATGTGCCATTCTCACTGGTGTAAGATGGTATCTCATGGTAGTTTTGATTTGCATTTCCCTGATGACAAGTGATGTTGAACATTTTTTCATATGCCTGTTGGCCATTTGCATTTCCTCTTCAGAGAAGTTTCTTTTAAGCTCTTCTGCCCATTTTTTGACTGGATTATTTTCTTTGTTGTTGTTGAGTCTCATCAGCTCTTTGCAGATTTTTGTGATCAGTCCTTTATCATTAGTGTTGGGTGCAAAAATGTTCTCCCAGTTGGTGGGGTTTCTCTTTGTTTTTGTTATTGTCTCTTTTGCTGTGCAAAAGCTCTTTAATTTGATATAGTCCCAGCTGTTTATCTTTGCCTTCACTATCACTGCTTTGAGTGATGTGTCTGTAAAGATGTCTTTGATGTGCAAATCACGTAGTGTTTCGCCTATATTTCCTTCTATATATTTTATGGTTTCAGGTCTTATGTCTAGTTCTTTAATCCATTTTGAGTTGATTTTTGTGTATGGTGTGAGGTGGTGGTCAAGCTTCATTCTTTTGCATGTAGCGACCCAGTTTTCCCAGCACCATTTATTGAACAAACTTTCTTTGCTCCAATGCATAGTCTTTGCTCCTTTGTCAAAGATTAGTTGACCATAAATCTGTGGGTTTATTTCTGGATTTTCTATTCGATTCCATTGGTCTGTATGTCTGTTCTTGTTCCAATACCATGCAGTTTTGATGATTATGGCTTTGTAGTATAGTTTGAAGTCTGGGAGTCTGATGCCTCCATTCCCTTCTTTTTTTTCAGGAGAGCTTTGGCTATTCGGGGTTTTTTGTGATTCCATATGAATTTCATCAATAATTTTTCTATTTCTTTGAAGAATGACATTGAAATTTTGATTGGAATAGCATTGAATCTGTATATTGCTTTTGGAAGGATGGCCATTTTAATAATGTTTATTCTTCCAATCCATGAGCAGGGGATGTCTCTCCATTTCTTTGTGTCTTCTTCTATTTCTTTTAACAGTGTTTTATAGTTTTCTTTGTATAGGTCCTTTACCTCTTTTGTTAGATTTATTCCAAATATTTGATTTTTTTTTTGTTTCAATAACAAAAGGGATGGTCCTTTCGATTTCTTCTTCTTCAGATTTATTGTTTGTGTATAGGAAGGCTACTGACTTTTGCGTGTTGATTTTGTATCCTGCCACTTTACTGAACTGATTGATGAGTTGAATTAGCTTTTCTGTGGAGTTTTTGGGGTTCTCTATGTATAATATCATATCGTCTGCAAATAGTGATAGTTTGACTTCTTCTTTTCCTATTTGGATTCCTTGGATGTCTTTCTCTTGTCTTATTGCCCTGGCTAGGACTTCCAGTATTATATTGAAAAGCAATGGTGAGAGTGGACATCCTTGTCTTGTTCCAGATCTTAATGGAATTGCTTTCAGCTTTTCACCATTGAGAATGATACTGGCTGTTGGCTTGTCATAGATGGCCTTTATGATGTTGAGGTATGTTCCTTGTATCCCAAGAACTTCAGGGCTTTTATCATGAATGGGTGTTGCACTTTGTCGAAAGCTTTCTCAGCATCTATTGATATTATCATATGGTTTTTTATATTTCTTTTTGTTGATGTGTTGGATAACGTTGATTGATTTTCGGATGTTAAACCATCCTTGTGCCCCTGGAATGAATCCAACTTGGTCGTGGTGAATTATCTTATGGATACATTGTTGGATTCTGATAGCTAAAATTTTATTGAGGATTTTTGCATCAGTGTTCATTAGGGAGATTGGCCTGTAGTTTTCCTTTTTTGTGTTGTCCTTGTTCGGTTTTGGTATTAGTGTAATGTTGGCTTCATAGAACGTGTTTGGTATTGTCCCTTCCTTCTCAATTTTTTGGAAGAGTTTGTGAAGGATAGGCACTAATTCGTCTCTGAATGTTTGGTAGAATTCATTTGTAAATCCATCAGGTCCTGGGCTTTTGTTTTTGGGGAGGTTTTTGATTACCATTTCAATTTCGCTAATTGTAATTGGTCTGTTTAGGTGTTCTATTTCTTCTTTATCTAGCTTTGGGTGATTGTAGAGTTGTAGGAATTTGTCCATCTCCTCTAGATTGTTAAACTTGTTTCCATATAACTGTTCATAGTAGTTACTGATTATTCTTTTGATTTCTGCTGTGTCCGTTGTGATTTCTCCTCTTTCATTGATGATCCTGTTTATTTGTGCTTTCTTTCTCCCTTTTTCCTTTGTGAGCCTGGCTAGGGTTTGTCTATTTTATTGATTTTTTCAAAGAACCAGCTCTTGGTTTCATTGATCTTTTGGATTGTTTTTTTTAGTTTCAATTTCATTTATTTCTGCTTTGGTTTTTATTATTTCTTTTCTTCTACTGGTTTTGGGGTTTTCTTGTTGTTCTTTTTCTAGATCTTTGAGCTTCGAGATTAGGTTGTTTCTTTGCGTTCTTTCTTGTTTCTTGATGTGAGCTTCTATTGCTATAT